TCACTAGGACCAGCATTATAATTTGTGGGACCTGGTGTAAAATGAAATTGTGAGGCACCCTATTATAAAGTTTAAGGCGGTCAAGATGGTGACAGCAGAGAATGTAATCAAATACAGGATGCTACTAAGTGTGTGGTAAAATGCAGACTACAGTCCCAGGAAGCCAGCCCTGGTCAATATGATGCTCTCAATAATGCAGAAAACACAGACCTTGTCCTGGACCTGACAGTCCCCTGAGTGACATTTTTCACCCTGTCTAGAGAATAGCACAGAGTACATGCTCCATGTTCACAACTCATAGTTACCTTGTGTAAAATTTTGCTATGGTGTATCCATGTAAAAGGGACTAGTCCTTAGACATTTAGTCACTTTTTTGACTAAGCAATTTAGCATTAAGCATAGGTCTCATCAAGTTGCCCAGGCTGGTTCTCGAACCTCTGGACTCAGGCAATCCTCTTGCCTCGGTCTTCCCAAGTGCTGGAATTACAGGCTTGAGCCACTACACCTGACCTGAACTTTTCTTTTTTAAAAAATTATTTTACTTTATTTCAATAGCTTTAGGGGAAACAAATAGCTTTTGGTATACTTTATGTGTACCTTCCACCCCTGTCTGTGTACACTGTACCCAGTAGGGGAATTTTTGTTTCTCCACTCCTTCTCCATCTTTCCCTTCTGAGTCTCCACTGCCCATGACACCATTCTCTATGTCTTTGTGGATTTTTGGTTTAGCTCCTACTTATAAGTGAGACAGGGAGATCCCCTAGACAATAGCAGAGTCAGGCCAACAAAATTTCCTTGAAACTCAGTTTTGGTGCATCACAGAGAAAAACACGACACATCCTACGTCTTGTGAGGCCACGTCAGTAACACCCACCCCTCTGTCTCTGCCAACAGGTACAAATCCGCAGCGGTGGTCGCCAGCATCATCCGGCGCTCTCATCCCCTGAGTCCTACCCAGCAGCTGGTGGGCTGGACAGACCACATCCTCCAGACAGGGGGAGCAACCGACCTTAAGTCCTATGCCTTCCAGCAGTCCTGGCATGAACAGTACCTGCTTGACATCTTCTTGTTCCTGCTGGAGCTTACTCTGGGCACCATGTGGCCTTGTAGGAAGCTACTGGGCTTAGGGATCAGGTGGCTGTGTGGGGCCAGGAAACTGAAGGAGACTTGAGGGCAATGCAGCCTTGAGGTGATGTTTGGAGGGCTGTGCCATTATTTCTCATGGGCTTCCATTAATTCTGGCAACCCTGTTCTCTACATCATATCCACTTGCTAATTTTGCTACAAATTCCTCCTTGCTAGCTTCTTCCTGTTTCACAATTTTTTACCCAGTATTATTATCCTTCTTTATTTGCCAATAAGCAGGGGCATGGTGTGATTGTATCTCTGAGTGCCTTGGACCACTGACCCTCAGATTTCCAATCTGTAAACCCACTCTTCTTCTCATGCCCCTCTCTGAATCCTGACCATGTTAGCCTCCAAGGCCACACCTCCTTAGCTTTTTCCTTTCTCTCCTGTCCTCGCCACTTGTCATGGATAATACCTAAGGAGTATACTTGGCAAATGCTTTTGGTTTCTGTTTGCTTCCCCTGCTTACTCTCTTCAGTGCACAAGAGGCTTGTGCTGGCATGTATGCTCAGGGTCAGACAAATTCTTGCAGGTTTCCTTGTTGGGTGTTTGTTGCTGTCCACACTGGGTATGGCAGAAAAGTTTTTTTTTTTTTTTTTTTTGCTGATCAGTCATGGAGACTGTGGGTGTCCAGATTTTCCGGAAAGTAAAAGTTTTTATAGAAGTATCTCCCATCCTTCTCTCTCCACCCCGCTATGCACTGGCCAAGGAACTTCTGTTCCAGTTGCCCAGAATTTTGTCCTCTGTCTGCTGAAGCCTTTAAGGGAAACTGGCAAAGTCTATGCAGTGGCAGCTGGCAAGGACAAAGGGAGCTGGCATGGAGTGAACTGAGCTGTTGTTTGTCTGAGGAACATGGAAAATGCCACAAAAATCCTCCAGACTGCTTGAACTGTTGAAGCAGAATCTTTTTATATTAGTCTCGGCCTTTATTTGCATCCCAGCAGCAAGCAATACTGGACATGGTGGGAAATAAAAACTTCAGTTTCTTGGTTAGAGTCTCTGGCTGGGCCTGAAGAAGCATGTGGTGCTGAGTTGACCTCAAGGACTTTCTAAGCGAGGGGACATGGAGCAGGGAGAAGGAGCAGATGATTTCAACCAGGGATGCCCAGCCCTCCAACCTTGCGTATGAGAAGAAGGAATGAAATTGTGACTGTGGATTCCAAAAACAGTGCAGAGAGTACTTTGTGCCCTCCTTGTAGGGACTATTGCCACATCCAGTGGGTACTACGTGATATGTAATAAAAGAGGGTGAAAGTCATCCTATTTAGGGTTCTGTAGAAAATGTGATTTGCAAATAGATTATCTTTTTAGTCAGTATGCCTGTGAAATCCTCTGGATTTTGTACTAAGACATAGGATGGGTGTATTCACATCAAAATGTCCCCAAATGTATGAGAGAATGAGAACTTTAGACTTACTGATGGGTGTAGAACTAATTTGAGCATTCATGGGTACTGTTCCCTTGCTAAGCATCCCCCACTCTTTGCTAACTCTTTCCTTTTGTCTGGTATTAAGGTTTAGAAAATGCTGAGGTATGTATCAGGAAAATGGAGCCTGGCACAGAAACATTCCCTTGGCTGGGACTCTCACAATCTACATGTAACTAGATGCTATATGAACTATAAAGATCAACTGGAAAGGAAAATAAAACCCCCATCACTCATAGATTCCTACTCATAGTAAAATAAATACCAGATTGTAACAAAACTACCCCATGAATTTGTTACAGGCCTTTGTGGACAACCGGTTAATCCAGGAAAATCACGTTTGTGAAGCACGTTCACGGCACTGGTTACCAGTCTGTTTGAGTCCAGAGAGACAGAACAGCACACACACAAGATAGAGAAAGTGAGTTTAGTGGTCTAAAGTAATCAAGTCTCCAAATGAAGCCAAAATGTGGAGGAAAAGAGGAAACGTGAGGAAAAAAACATAGAATAAGGGGAAGGAATAAAAATATGGTGGATTCAAACCATATACTCCAGTTTAAATAAAAGATTAGTAGACAAGTTTTAAAATGTCATGAGATACATCTAAAATGTAAGAATACAGGAAGATTAAACATAAAAGGATAGGAAAAGATAAGTCTTTCAACTAATGGAAAATATAATCTGAATCATTAGTAATAATACTAAATAAAATAGACTTTTGGTGAAAATATTACTAGAGACAAAAGTGCCACTTTCATAATGAAAACTCACTGTTTTACTGGGAAGTTATACTACCTAATACTATCATTGTTCTTCTGCATGCATTTAATGAGTGGGCTTAAAGTGCATAGACCAAAAAATGCCATAACAACATGGAAAAATAGAATCATAGTGGGAGAGTTGTAAAATATTTTAATAAGAAATTTCAAACACTCATAAAAGCAGATCATCCTCAAGCTCAGCACTGAGCTTCCGTTATTACCAACTCCTGGCAAAACACATTTTCCTTCTATTTCCACCCACTTCCAACCTTCCCCCACCACCAAGACATCATAAGACATTATCTATAAATGTTTCACAATGAACCATCAGGCATGAGGAATTTATTTTATATACCAAGAGCCCTTCTCCAAAGTAATAGTAGCCATTTAATATCATCAATTTTGTCTTCACAAATCTTTGATGCTCCTATGATATTTTAGAATTCTTTTGAATCATACTATCTAAAACGTTAACACTTCTGGTACCTGACCCTTCCTTTCTCCTTCTCCGTTTGATATTTCTTGGTAGTATTTGCCATTAACATAATATAAATTTAATTTGTTAGTGTGTTTTGCATATCACTGCTGAACAGAACAATGCTTGCTATCATAATTAACTATCAGTACAATAGTTGAATAAATGAATAAGTTTGGAGTTTAATAACAAGTCCTTTATTTTGCTAATGCCATACGGAGAGTACAGGAATAATAGATGGACTGGAGCCTGTAATGCCTGATTATGCTCTCCCCTCCCACGTCTCTCTCTCCTTCTTCACAATGGGCATGGCTATGTGGGAAATGCATAAATGTGTGAGAAAATAAGGCTTTGAATTCAGATAAACAATACTTGTAGAGGGAAGACAGTAATAGTGCAAACAGCATTCAAGGGCTCACTTCACCCTATAGACATGATCACTGAAGGACTTCTCTACTTGACTCAAGTTGCACTGAAAGCCTTTGCTGAAGTAAGTTTTGATTGGAGGCTAGAGAGGTACATGCACTACTGGGCATAGCAATTCCTGCCTTCCCAAGGGCTGACATTAGAGGGGAAAAGAATTACAACTATTTTCAGTTTGTGCTCTGGGAGATTATGGAAAGACTCTCAATCCCATTTTAGGACATATTCAGAATTATAGTCTCAGCTTTATAATATCTGTTCTCCACTTAGTAGACCTGGACTCCCAGAGCTAGGACACTGGCCTGTCTTCATGACTGTAGCCTTTGAAAGAGATGCTCAGAGATCGAGTCCAGGGAAGGTAGACCAATTTCTTTGGAGGTTCACTTGGCAGGGAGTTGTTGAGGTTCGGACACCAGTTAGAGATTTTAAGCAGGTCCCTGTGGAAATCAGGTCTGGGATGGCAGTAGAAGATATCAGAGGCAGTCAGAAAAAGGTGGAATACTAAAAGTCCAGACGGTGTCCACAGGAGAGCGTAGTCACTTGGGAGCAGACCTGTCATCCACCTGATTTACCGGAGGTGCCTACCACTCCTGGTTCCTAGTAAGAATTTTCCAGGCAGAGAGGGCTGTGATAACAGAGGCAGAGCACAGTGAAGGATCAGCTCACCGACTCCTCCTACCGACTGTTGATTTAGTAGTTTGAGGACAGATTATCCAATTGAGCAGGCTGACAGGAGAGATTCTGGCAGCATCCCCTCTTACCTCTTCTCAAGCTCGCAGCCAGCATTTTTGGCGCAGGGAGGCGCACAGGATCCCTTAGCATCCCAGGTTGGACCCCGCGGCTGCTGTAGGCGTGCTCATGGCTGGGCAGCAGGCGCTGCTTCTGGTGAGCTTCCTTCTCCCTGGGGTCCTGCTCTCAGAGGCCGCCAAAATCCTGACAATCTCTACAGTGGGTGAGTGCTTGGCCAGATAATTCAGAGACAGGCGCGTCCCGGATACTCGCGCCGCCAGGGTTCCAGGGAACAGCGCTTGATCAGAGGGGTCACCCACGTGGTTTTCTAGACTAGTTTTGCGTGCCGCGCCGGGTGAGGGAGAAGCACACATAGTTGTGGGTCAAAGGGGGGACGGCTATTGCTGAGGTGGAAGCGATAGTTTTGGAGAAGACAGAATATCCTTTCCCGTCTCCTCCTTTTCAGGACGCGCTCCCCAGCGTCCAGGGCTGTCTGTAGCCGTAAGTTTGGGATCCAGCAAGAGCTTGAGTCCCTGGACTGCCTTCCCCAGGGCGGGGCGGGACTTTCAGAGGCCACCCTAAACTCCAGGAGAGGGGAACGCTGAGCAGCTCCCAGCAGAAACCGTGGAGCGCGTTTTCAGGCTTTGGAGGCCAGAAAAAGGCGATCCTGGGGCAGCACTGCACATTTTCTGACGCTGCATATGGAGCCAGGAAGGAGCAGGGAAGGTATTTCGTGACAATGAGCAGGAGAGTGTTTTCATCTAGGGAAAACCTGGAGAAATGTGCAGAGCTGAGGAGAAAACCCTGGTGATTGAGGTCTTTTGGAGCCTCATCCTTTCACTTGCGCTGCTGAACGTTTTTCAAGGATTCATGGGGCTGTTAATTTTGTGTTAGGGGTCTCAGTTATATATCTTTTACTTTTATATCTCAAAGGGAATAGAAGATGAAAGAGAAACATATTATTAGAATAAAAGGGTCATCCCAGGAGGGAGCTTCCCCAAGACTTTATTTCAACCCATAGTGGGCTCTGTTGGATAACTTTCAGGTCATCGAGAATCAGGGGATCATAGGGCCACCTAATTCAGGCACCACGTTGATTTTCCTGAAGGACATCTGGGGGCAGGGGAGTGAGATGCCTTTTCGCAAGAGCACACTCAGGTGTCCAATGAGGAACTGACTCAGTCCTTCTTACCCAGGACCACCCTCACCACAACTACTCTGAAGCCCTTTTCATTGGGGTTTTTTAAAAATCACATTTTAATAATCTTGTAAATTCATTTGAAATCTACTTTTTATCTTCCTGTTTGTTAGTTGCAATGAAGCAAAAGGGTTTCCCTACTTTTTGGAAGTTACCTATCCCCATTCCTCAGCCACTAAGAAGGAGCTGGTGTAGTTCCTATAGTGCTAGTCCTCTTTGCTTTGCCCCAGAATGCTGTCTGACTCTCCAAGACCTGCTGTGAATGGCTTTCTTTGTGGGGATCCTTTCTTCCCTACTCCCTCTTCTTCCATTGATTTAATGTGAGCAATTTATGTAGGACATCTGTACTTTATACACCCTTGTTACTTCAGACATTTAAATGTGGTTATAAGTAAACTTATGCAGAGAACTGCACGCTATTTCTTCACTTCTCTTTCACCCCCATCCCCATACTCTTGGCATTTGTCATGAACTTCTCTTGGGTCCTGCCTTTCCCAGCTGCTGAGACTCTTACATTCAAACAAAGGCTCTGTATTGGAACATGGTCTAAGAGAAGACACTGATGTCATGATACTTGTACCTCTCTTGAGCATCAAGCTCTCTCTTCTTAAGATGATGGAATTTTTCTAGAATCAGTGATATCTTAACTGTTGTGCAGCTGAGATCCGGTTGGCCCACCCCATGAGCTCCACAACTGTCCTCAAATGTCTTAATCATTAATTGAGCATTGTTTAGACCCAAATAACTTCTTTACAAATACACTAAAATCTCAAGAATTTGGGTTGAAAGTAGTGACTCTACAGTCTTCTGTTCCAATAATTATTTCTTGGATTCATATTTTAACGCCCACATTTATATCTTATACAGTATCATAAATTTCCAAAGACAGGGATCTCAGATATAGCTCTCATTGATTGTTAGGAATCCTTCACACTCATATGCACAACATTTTGTCTATATTTACACCAGTGCAAGTATTTGTTTTGGACTCTGTGTCTCCATAAAGTCTTGGGAAAATGCAGCATATACCTCAGGATGAGAAATTACTATGACCTAAGACATAGAAGTTCATCAACTGACATGTAGACCTAGAGTTATAAGAGGCAATCTTTGATGGAGAATTGCCACACATTAAGGATCTGGACAGAGGTGCTCTGGGTGGGTGACCTCAGTGTTAGTTACCCAGAGGGAGATGGTGAGACTGACAACATTTATTTTTGTCCACTCACTCTCAATACCGTTTCCTTACCTTTCTCTCTTGGACCTATTTATTACCCTACCAACTTCAGAAACTGTAATCTCATCATTACAGAACTGAAGTTGTGCGTTGTTCCTAGGTGGAAGTCATTATCTACTGATGGACCGGGTGTCACAGATTCTTCAAGATCACGGTCATAATGTCACCATGCTTAACCAGGAGGGAAATTCTTTGATGACAGGTATCTATTCTCACTAATTCTTGATTACTTCTACTTCAAGGAAAGAGAAAAATGTCTTTTGCATAGAGAGGCCTAGCAACATGTTTTCAAAAATTTAATTTCATTGACAAAATGAAAAAGGTGTGTGTGTGTGTGTGTGTGTGTGTGTGTGTGTGTGTGTGTAAACTTCTTCAACTCTGTTTAACAGGAATGGACATCCCATACTCCCATATTTCTCTCTGTTACCTGACTTCTACTCCATCACAAGCAATCATCCATACATTAGGACTTATTAATTTGATGAATGCTACCTTATAACATGACTTAAAAATATATTGAACAGAAATCTTCAATCATACTTACAACTTCTTACATGTAAGATTCATTTTCTTTTTATAGATTAGTTTTCTTTTTTGGAAGATATCTGAAATTTAAGAAAGCTTTCTCGGGGAGTCCCTTATTCATGCAGCTAAGTAGACTCCATCATTGAGATGATCTTGCATTCTTGAAAAATAAATGGCTGACCATGGGTTTATGCATAGTGATGCCAGAAATTCTAAATTGAGTCATCAAATCTAAATAATTTTAGTTAAAGTGAAACTTATAAATCTTGTCAATTATTTTCTGATGACTTAAAAGGAAACAGAATCCCAGATAACTTAAAAATTTGCTCACAATTTTCTTAATGACAGAGTTGAGTGGATCTAAGATTTTAGACTTTGAATTGCTCCATATGTGATTGTTACTCAGGGAAAAGCATAAACCCCAGCATTATCAAATATACCCATGTAAAAAGCTTGCACATATATCCCCTGATCTATAATTTAAAAAAAGAAAAAAAATCTAAAACCAAACATCTTTGAGAAACAAAATTCTGAGATATTATAAAACTTTAAAGGTGACATCAGACTTTGGTATTGTTCAGACTTTTAAACACAAATTTTTTCTATAATCTTTTTCTTTATATACATTTTAAATTTTTGTTGTGGTAAAATATACATGAATTATAAGCTACCATTTTTTTTTGAGTTGGAGTCTCACTCTGTCACCCAGGCTGGAGTGCAGTGGCACACTCATGGCCACCCCAGCGTCTACCTGCTGGGCTCCAGCGATCCTTCTGCCTCAGCCTTCCAAGTAGTTGGAACCACAGGCATGTGCTACCATGCCCGGCTACTTTTTAAAAAATTTATTATAGAGACGAGGTCTCACCAAGTTGCCCAGGCTGGTCTTGAACCTGCAGGCTCAGGCAATCCACTCGCCTCGTCCTCCCAAAGAGCTGGGATTAGAGGCTGAGCCACCGAGCCTGGTCTACCATTTTTTATGTGTATCATTTAGAGCTGTAAGGACATTCACACTGTTGCATAACCATCAGTACCATTCATTGTTGGAACAATTTTATCATCACAAACTGGAACTCTACCCATTAAATAGGTACTCCTCATTACTCTCTGCTTCCAGCTGCTGGGAACCATTATTGTACTTTCTTTCTCTGTTAATTTGACTATTCTGAGTACCGAGTATAAATGGAGTAATACAATATTTATTCTTTTGTGTCTGGCTTGCTTTATTTAGTATAAAGTCTTCAGGGGTCATCCATGTTATAACATGTACTAGAATTTCTTTCCCTTTTAAAGCTGAATAGGATATTCCATTCTATGGATATGGCACTTTAAAAAATTCAATAATTCATTGATTGACTATTGTGAACACTGCTGCTATGGACCCTGGTGTACAAACATATTTTTTGAGTGCCTGCCTAAAAACCATTCAAATCACCATTTGGATTAGGTTTTATATTTTTCACTGAATATTGTTTATAAACCTTTGCATTAGTCTTGACTGGAGATCTGTTTAAATAGTTGTAGCATATTCATTTTTAATATAATTATTTCTGAATTTCAAAAATTATACTTAAGTTAAATTTAAAAATTAATTGGAATAAATTCTAAATAATTATAGCTTTTTCAATATACTTTGAGAAATGACTGAAAGCTGCAGACCTTCTACCTAAATACATGCACACCAAAATCTATAAACAATTCAAGGAATTTATTGATGCCTTTTATTTTATTATTGGTTTAGGAGTTTTGAATTTCTTTCAATATTCTCTCATCACTGATGTCTCTGAAACTTTTAAACAGCATTTTCATTCTTCACTTTGTCAGTAGAACTTGGGTTGAGGTCTAAAAATAGGGAAATACATAATTGTGTTATTATTTCTGACCTGATGCACAATTCAGCATATTGAAACATTTGAGCCATTTATTAACTTCTTATTTGGGAATTTTTTTATGCTGTTTATTTATTTGCAGTTAATCATTGACACCAGAGGCACTGAAGAAGAAAATGTTTTTAATACTCACATGCACCACTGCTCCAACCAACATCTGGAATCACAATTGAGTTATAGGCTTGAGGAATATTGAAGATCATAGCAGGAAAAGCCTAGATTGCTTTGAAGAGATTGTTAGTAGCCATGTGGATGCTAAGAGCTCTGCAAGGGATGATGCAGAAGGAAGTAAGGAATATGGTAGAGAAAATATACATTGTTTTAGAGACTATATAAATCATCATGACAGACTTTTTGTGGGAATATAGATGTTAAAGACGTCTTGCCAGAGGAAAAAAGTTAAATTTAGAAAAGAACTATCAGGTTAAAAAGAAACAGAATTTCATGGTCTTGGAAATTCTCAGTCTCTTAGGATTGCAAAAGATTCTACAATTAGGAGATTTAAATGTCAGGAAAGCAGTGAGTTCTTTTCCCGTATAGAGAAAGTGATTGTGTGTCTGTACAGTCCTTTGCTATGGCCTCTAAAGGATTAAAAAGTAAGAGTGTTCTATCACATAAGGTCATTGAAGAGATTAGTATTAAGCAGGCTTACTCTGTCCTGGTTACCAATTTGTTTCCATCTGGTAAGACAAAATACTCACAGGTTCATCAAGTTACGTGAAGTGATTTATTGCTTATGGATAGGCAACAAGTAATAACAGAAGGCTAATTTCATTATGAGCTGGTCTCTCAAGTCTCAAAAAGCTCCCCACTTCCTAAAAGATCTAAAAATCGACCTTTCATACAATCCCGCAATCCCCCTGCTGGGAATATACCCGGAGGAACTTAAGTCACTCTATGAAAAAGCCACCTGCACATGCATGTTTATTGCAGCATTGTTCACAATAGCAAAAACATGGAACCAACCATGCTGCCCATCAAAAGGAGACTGGATTTTTTAAAATGTGGTACATATGATGGAATGTTACGTAGCCATAAAGAAGGACAAAATTATGAACTTTACAGCAACTTGGATGGTCTTAAAGTCTATAATACTGAGTGATCTATCACAGAAGCAAAGAACTGAGTACCACATGTTCTCACTCATAAGCAACCCTTGAACAACCATCATAATACTATAAGAAAGGGATTGGCAGTAGTGAGAAACTGCCAGGGGAGAAGGGAGGCAGACCTCATCAACAAGGGTACCTGCATAATAAACATTTGTATACCTAACCCTGAATTGTACCCTACATCTCTAAAATTAAAAATTAAAAAAAACTCCCCAGTGTAAAAGAACTCTCAACTGTACATGTTCCAGTTGCATTACAGTTGAAGAACCATGAAAAACAGATCACCCTGGGTTTTATATCCTGGAGTATGGGACTTACTGGGCTACAGAGTCCAAAGACACCTTCTTTCTACTAGGGATTGTAACAAATTCTGGACTATTCCACCCATTTTCTCTCTATCTAAGGTGTTGTTGACAAAAGATTCCAAAGTTTGCAAAATATTTAAGACGGTTTATTCTGTGCCAAATGTGAGTGACCAAGCCTATGACACCAGTGTCCAAGAGGTCCTGACAAAGTATGGTTGAACTGCAACTTGGTTACATACATCTTAGAAAAGCAACAGTTATAGAAAACCATAAATCAATAAATGTGAGATTTACATTGGTTTGGCCTGGGAAAGCAGGATCTCTTCAAGTGGGGCCTTGCAGGTTATTGTTGGATTCAAAGATTTCCTGACTGGCAGTTAGTAACAAGAGTTGTCTCTTAAGGAATTTTGATATCCCAAGTTTCTTGGTATGTAGATGAAGACTCATGGGTGGCAGACATCAGAAAGTATAGATGATAAGGGTCTTAAAAGGAGCCTGAAGAACAGTAGAACCAAAAGACAGTTCTAACAGATCATAAAATATTTTGATTTTCCTTCTTTATCTGTTATATGAATGTTGTTAGCTGGTTGCAGTGGATCTTGCTGGCAAAGACTGTGGGTAATAGTAGGGCTGTTGAAGTATCCAGCTAAAGGTGCACTATGTCCTTCCAAGGTAAAGGCACACTGTAGCTGAGTGTCTGTTGCAACAGGCACTGAACAGAACATACTAGCCCAATCTATGACTACAAAGTGTTTGCCGGTAGCGTAGGTTGGAAAGTAAACCACGATATAGGGAAGATCATTTAAAAGCAACAACACCAACAACAACAACAAAAACTGTCTCTCTATACCCCTGAGCAGGGAGTTTGGCAAGGAAAAGAAAAAAAGTTCAGTGTTTAGTCCTCAGTGTTACCTTTCCAGCATATTCTACTGTTATTTTTGAGAACTGCAAGTGAGAAAGGCGAGGGGAATAGGGTCTGTCCAAGGTTACCTGAAGAACCATCCTGCAATTAGGTGTATGACATGGATCCATGCATCCATAGTGGTAGAGCCAAAAGAGAGATGAAGTTATGTAGTAGAGATCTGAGGAGCAGCCTCTAATCCAGTGAAGTGATGCATAGGAGATCTACAAGGTACCCAATAATTTTATACCAGCAGTAACACTACCATTTGGATTGAAAGATGCGAAGAGAGAGTGACAGGAACGAAGGCCAATGGACTCCCAAAATTCTGTAAGGAGGAAATGAACTGATAAACTACTCAACTGTAAGCACATGCTATCCTTCACGAAGAAGCAAACGTCACCTGATGGTGAATCAATGACTTCAGAGGGCAGATATTCAAGCCCAGAGTGCTGGGATGCAAACCAGTGTATTCATCCTAGTCTTTAAAACCTAATTTTGTTTGCTCAGTTGGTGTCAACATTTTCTAGAAGTAGTGACTCATTTTTTTAGACATTTGTTTTGTTTCCGTTTGAATGGTAATCCCTGTAACTGATACCTTGTGCCTGTTCCACTATTGATTTTGGGAAGCAGATAACATTTTTCCTAGCTTCATGGATTCACACAGAGGGAGCAATTTTTCCCTTGAATGATTTATATACCCAGACTCTCACCCATATCTGATTTAGATTATTTGAATGATGTGATTTAGGACGTCTGGACTGACGAGCTTTAAATCTTTTGCACTTTAAATCTATGGTGTAATTACTTGAGGCTTTTGGGTTTGTTGGGATAGGATGAATACAATTTCATTCCATGTTGGATGTACATGAATATTTGGGGTCCAGAGCTGATTAGATCCTAAACATGATATCTCCCCAAGATATTTAGGTACTAGTCCCTGAAACTATGACTATGCCATTTTAAATGGCGAAAGAAACCTTGTAGATATGATTAACACAAAGATTCTGAGATAGAGGAATTACCATAGATTAACCAAGTGGGTCTCATGTAATTATCATATTTTTTATGAAGGAAAGGAGATGGTAGGAGACTCAGAGAAAAAGAAGTGATGATGTAAGAAAACATCAAAATGATGTAATTGCATGTTGGAAGGGGGCCATGAACCAGGGATGCAGATAGCCTCTAGAAACTGGAAAAGGCAAAAAATTGATTGCTTTCTAGAGCCTTCAGAAGGAACAAAGCTCTACCTATACTTTGATTGTATTCTATTGAGACTCATTTTGGACGTCTGACCTCCAGAAGTATAATACATTTGTGTTGTGCTAAGCCACTAAACTTGTAGTAATTTGTACAGCATCAGTAAGAAACTAATATAGCCATGACAGGTGATCAAGAGAACTCCAGGAGGCATGAATGGAGGTTGCTAAAGCCTGTACAGTAAAAGTGTGTCTGAAGGCACTAATGTGAAAGCCTATTGCATTCCAATTTGAGTAGATTCTAGAGCCTTCTGTTTATGCGGGGACTATTCAAAATGGGCTGATTTTCAAGTAATAAGCATGAATGGGTTTATGTACAATTAATAAATGAAAATGGGTTGTCTTTAAAATGTAATAAGAAAAAATGTTGGGTTTGTAACACTGTGCGTGCAGGGAAGCTCCATAGTTGTTTCTGGATAGTGTCAGTATGGAGAAGCCTTCAACTAACAAATAATTCTTTGAGATTTAATTGAATTACTGGGTCTTGTATTATGTATGAAACAATGGCTTTTCCTTATTTAAACATTTTGTGACTGTTTCTATCTCTTGAATAAGTGTGGCAAATGAATTTCTCCAGAGGAGGACATCCTCAATGTAATGTCAAGACTGTACTCCTGGAGAAAGCTGGATGCAGTGGATCTTGCTGGCAAAGATTGTGGGTAATAGTAGGACTGTTGAAGCATCCAGCTAAAGGTGCATTGTGTCCTTCCAAGGTAAAGGCACACTGTAGCTGAGTGTCTGTTGCAATAGGCACTGAACAGAACATATTAGCCCAATCTATGACTACAAAGTGTTTGCTGGTATATACTTGGATAGAGTCTGTAAATTCAATAAGACTGGGTATGGGGGTCTTAATGCATGAAACTATGTGTTAATCTACCTTCACCTCTTATACAAAATTTGGCCTCGATATCATCAGATAAAGCCACACATACATTAAGAGAGTATGAAAGAGTTATTACTGAGAGAATAAAACTTTTTTAAAAAGAACAAGAAACTCTCAGGCAAATCTTTTAAAATGGCTTTAGAGAGCAGAGAGAAATGACTAGCTTGAGTTTTTATTGTGAAGAAGGCTTGAAATGGGATGAGAATCTCCTGCAGCAGCCTGACGGGCATGATTTGTAATTCCACCAGGGGTAAGGGAGGAAGTATGTGTGGGTTTTCTTATCAATTTGCCCATAGACAGCAAAGAAGATGGAAAAGGAGGTGGTACTTTAAACCTGCCAAGGGATAAAAATAAAAAAAGAGTGACTCTTTATTATACAAAGGTAATAGAGAAGGAACCAGGCTGGTAAGTACAGACATAGGGGGCTACTTGTTTAGCAAAGATTTTTAATACTTTTTGACTTAATTAAAAAATTATTTGCATGTATCACATCAAATAATGAAAATGATTTTTCTTAAATGAAAAAAGCAGAAACTCTGCAATCAAACAGATCTGTACTATATTTAAATACAAACTCTAACACTTCTTATGTGTGCTACTTTGATTATCTTAAACTAAATCAGTTTTTTTCTTATCTGTAAAATTAGACAAATAACTATATCTTTAAATGGAAACCTCCATTACTTTAAATTGAAAAAAACATTCTGGTCATTGTAAAGGTCTCAATAAATGTTATTTGTAAAATTGAATAAATGAGAAAGCAACAAAATAAGATAGAAATACTTTAAAAAGGAAACAGTCTAATAAATACAAAATCATAAGAATAAACACATTTTGATATTTTATGCTAATGTTCTCATGTTGTGTGGCATATTAACATTTCTAACCACTTGCTATTTTCTTAGATTTTAAAAAGGAGGAAAAATCATACCAAGTTATCAGTTGGCTTCCACCTAAAGATCATCAAAAAAAGTTTAATAAGTATTTTGATTTCTTTATGGAAGAAGCTTTGCATGGCAGGTAATTTTTTTAAAAATATTTGAACCAAGGAGTCACTATTTTAATCATAAAAATTAGTGGATGGGTACATGGATACTTGGAATGAGAATAAGAGAAAGGGATGGATGGATGGATGGATGAATGGATGGATGGGTGGAAGAAAGGACAGATGATAGGTACATGGAATAGATAAATATTATACACCAAATCATCCAGTACAGTCACTGAAAATTCTTCTTTAGTCTGTAATGTCCTTCTTACACTATACGCATTAATATATTTCTGTAGAAAGCAGGAGGTTGTTTCTTTTGGGATTTCTTTGCAACACTTCACCTACAATCATTGTTTATAGTCTCCTCAAAACATAAACAGTGTTAGGCCCCTCAACTTCTAATTGCTGATAGGGAAATCTGATCCACATTTTCCCACTAATTTTCTTCTCTTCTCCGTGCATACATTCATAAATAAATGGAAGACTTATGAACACTGATTTTGCATAAGTTGAACATGAAAAGTTTTTTTAAAAAACAATCAACCTGTTACAAAATGAGACATGAAGTTGACTGCTTTTACTTCACCTAGAAAGGAAAGGAACACATAACTTTTTATTCTTAGACATAAGAGAGGAAAGATAGAGTTTCATGCCTATCTTGGTTACTTACAGTGGCCTTACCTCCTTTTTTCCCTTGAAAATTCTACTCAGTAGTCAAGGTGGTGCTCAAATTTTACTTTTTCATAAAACCTTCCTCACCTAAGCTGGGAGACCACACTCCGTCTTCTATAGATCTGATCTTACCCACCCATTTGACACTGAGTCTATGTCATCTGCATAGTTAGCTGTCCTTTTAAGTATATTCCTTGCCTCTTCTCTCCTAGTTTAATATTTTGAAGGACAGATATAGGTAACAGTGCATTCTTAAACTTTCTCAAGCTTAAATATGATTAATGAACTATATTCTAAATTTTTTTTCTGCATCTCTAAAATTATTCAGGATGTTTGACAACCATTCCTTTGTTATGTGAATCTTAAAAAATACACAACAGAGGATGATTTCATCCAATCACTTTTATTGTATGACTTGAAGTTGATCCTGAAGATCAGGCAGAGATCTGCATAGCACTAACAAGTTCTCAACCTCAGGGCCTTCTTGAACTGGAGGGCAATGGTGCAGTGGCCACAGGTTACAGGTATTTCCAGGTACTAGTTCTCTCAAGCAGCCAGAAGGCTTCTAATATCTAGAGCCCCTGATCTATTAACTCTCTCCTGGGCATCTTTATCTATTTCCCCACCATGCTGTAAGACAGGATCATAGTCTGTGAAGGTAGTGATGGGAAACAATTGAAAGAAGAATGGTCCCTGGACTAATAGCATGGGCAAAATCTTCATTACATGTCAGTAAAGCTTTGACATTAGCTTCTCTGTATACCTCAGGCTGCATTGAAGTGAAAAGGATAACACTGTGTTTAAAAACTAGGCTTTTGGTGTTGTTGTTGCTGTTTTTCATTGCTTACCTCCTAAGCATAGAAAAGTAAACTTATTTTTAGCTGAGTTTTTCAGTTCATGCTCATAGAATTCTTTGGGTGAGATAATCTCTCATATGTGAACTCACAGTAATTAAAAAATACTATATATCATCAATATTGATCAACTCTGTTTTCAAGTTACTTACATATATTGACTGGATATATGCAAAAATCACTCATAAAAAGTCAGTATGTAAATAAGGGTTAAACAGGGCACAACAGCATTTATTCAGGAGACCTACAACTCTGAGATCTGCTGCTGTCAAAGATGGCTCCCAGAGCAGAATGATCTTGAATTGGCATGGCTGGTGGATGGGGTTTGGATTGGGGGGAAGGAGAGGGAAGAAGCTATAATCTAGGGAGCAGACACATTTGAACCAGAATGATCATGACAAAGGGTATTTGTGGAAAGCTAGCTGAATATGTGGGTTACTGCTAGATATGCTTTGCTTCTCTAGGATATTCTGTCTATATCTTAAAATTCTTTCACATATTGTGAATTTAACACCGTCCATGAATATTTATTATTTATTCTCTATCTTACAGAGGAATATCTGAAAACTTTTTAAAATTTGTGGAACAAATGGGGTTTCAGTGCAGTCATTTGCTAAGGAGAAGGGATATCATGGATTCCTTAAAGAATGAGAACTTCGACATGGTGATAGTTGAAGCTTTTGACTTCTGTCCTTTCCTGATTGCTGAGAAGCTTGGGAAGCCATTTGTGTCCATTCTTGCCTCTTCATTTGGCTCTTTGGACATTGGGCTACCAAGTCCTTTGTCTTATGTTCCAGTATTTGGTTCCTTGTTGACTGACCACATGGACTTCTGGAGCCGAGTGAAGAATTTCCTGATGTTCTTTCATTTCACCAGGAGGCAATGGCAAATGCACTCTAAGTTTGACAACACCATCAAGGAGCATTTCTCAGAAGGCTCGAGGCCAGTTTTATCTCATCTCCTACGGAAATCAGAGCTGTGGTTTGTGAACTCTGACTTTGCCTTTGATTTTTCCCGGCCTCTGCTTCCCAACACTGTTTATGTTGGAGGCTTAATGGCCAGACCTATTAAACCAGTATCACAAGTAAGTGAACTCTCAGTACCCAGTTTGGGTTTCACACAGAGTCCTTCAATTCATAGTAGGTGGCTGCCACTAGTTAGTGGGATTCTGAGACTGAAGTAGGGTTAGGGAGTGGAGGCATCTGGGATATGCTTTTTAAGGAAGTACTCAATTTCAGAACTGTGCAAGTACAGTGTTGGGTCTTGCAGAATCCTGAGATCAAGGGCATCCTTATATGGGATCTTCTGACTCCTCCGTTACCTCATTTTAGTCCTAGCCTCAGTGGGATAAGTTTTTAATTAAAGTTGCTAATTTTGTTTTCATTTTGTATTATCATATGTATAATGGATATGTAGTTAGTGCCCACTAAATGCAATAATTTCTAAAGATATGAGTTATTCACAATGAAACAGGTAACACTATGAGACAAAGTGCAACCAGGGCGGGATTGTATGGGACTGATAGCAAAAACTGCAGGTGTTACCTCCAGTGTCCCATTCCCGTAGATCCCTGACTCCAGGCTCCACTTAGACCTTCTGATTTCATTTGTCTGGAGTGGGCCCCACACATTGTATTCAGTAAATGTTGTCCAGGTGATGTGAATGCATAGACTAAAGTTACAACCTCTGCTATAGAAGTTTTTAAAAGAGAGAAGAGGTAAGATTAGTTGGCTACCTATTGCCTATAAGCACTGGGTTGCCACCTTACAGAAGTTATCATAAATAATATCCTGCCATCTGTAGGCAGATGTGATCATCTCTATTTTTCTATAATCGTACCATCCCACCACCATGAATTCAGAGCCCTTGATGGTCTGGATTTGTCTGGGCCTTCTAGACACCAAGTGACTACTTTTCCTCCTTATTGAGTGAGCAGGAAGAGTTGGGAAATGATCCATGGGCAAGATGGGCCATGAGATGCTGTCATGAGATTTTAGGAATGGAGCTAGGAAGGAAGGCACCCCAGGTGGGGAGAGCAGGGGGCCCATGCATGGAGATGGAAATGTGATGCCCATGAGACTGTGTTTTCTGGGCAACCTTGGCTAGACTACAGTAATGGAAGATTCCGTTGCATGAATAAAACCATGGGATTTTACCAGAGGCCTTAGCTGTCAGGAGGGTGGGTCAGGTGTTGCCATAAAGGAAGGGAATTTTCATGAGGATAACAATGGGAGTAATGACTGTGAGACAGCCTATGCTTTTTCTCAAACAGTTTTCCTTCTCTGCATTTTTCAACTTCAGTATAATAGTCTTATGTTGCTTTTGTAATTATGAAAAAGAATGACAAGACTGGACTTTTGGAATGGTATGCCGGGTGAAATCCAGTAGGGGTTGAACCATCTACTAGGATGAGGGGTTGGGAGCTAGTGAAAGTCACAAAAAGTAGAGAGAGAATCAGAGTCTGAAGAAATATTTGGATGTAAGAATTGACATCTAACTGTGTTAAAGCCAAGGTTAAGACATTAGATACCAACATCCTTAAGAACTGCCTGGAGGACTTTAAGATATAAGCTCCCCAGGTCTGCTGTTGGTATGGGGCATTGTTGCACTTTTAAAACTTCCCATGTGGTTATAATTTGCAGTCATGCAGGTGAACCACTGAGATAGAGAATGAATTATTTAAAGGTCAGTGACTGAGAATATCACCGAATACTGGAGGTCAACATGCTTAATGGCACATTGCATGTGGGTGGTGATAAGCCTTAATCTATTCTGCCTCCATTTCTTCCTACAACAGTGATGTTCTCCTAGCTTCTCCATTCCAACGTACAGAATTCTCATTTCCCATGTTGAACCCTGATATCTGCCACTGATACTTTCCCTGACTGTATCATTTCTGACCTTGCCTTTGAATTCTTCCATGACTCCCTGGACCTACAGTGGGTGGGGGTGGGGGGTCAAGGATGGCCATGATCCTGGGTCAGGGTTTCAAAAATCAATGATAGTCCCACCAATACAATGGACATGAACACAGTGTAGAAAGTATTGAGTCACACCAGAGACCATGATGACAGTTTCAAGACAGTGAGCACAAGGCACTGATGGAGGGTGTGTCAGTAAGTAGTTTTTTATTTCAAGGTTGTCTAGGCTTTCCCAAACAACTTTTTCACCTCCTTTCTTTTGTTACCTCTCTCCAGGACTTAGAGGACTTCATCGCCAAGTTTGGGGACTCTGGTTTTGTTCTTGTGGCCCTGGGCTCCATGGTGAGCCTCTATCAGACTCAGAAAATTCTCAAGGAAATGAACAGTGCCTTTGCTCACCTCCCTCAAGGAGTTGTATGGAATTGTCAGCATTCTCATTGGCCCAATGATGTCAACTTGTCTGCAAATGTAAAAATTGTGGACTGGCTTCCTCAGAGTGACCTCCTGGGTAAGGGCTGCCCAGCTGTGCTCCTCTCTTTCTATTTACCTATCTTGGGGTTCGTCAGGGCTCTGACCTCTAGCTGGGTATTTGAACCTTCCCTAGAAGGAGCTGCTGATTGGTAAAACAAAGGCTTAGAGAGAAGAAAAGGAGCAGCCAGTTAGAGTTCTTGCAGAATCAGGTTATACTTCTGGTGGGATAAGATGCCAAAACAGCTATCTTTTCTTCATTTATTTATCCTATGCCCTTTGTCTGCACACAGAAGTCATGTTCCTGTAAGTCTCATTCACTCTATTGTATTTGATCTTGGATAATGTCACCTAAACAAAATACATGACACCATGTGAACTCTGAAAATACGTACAGTGGCTTGGAGGGAGTTGTCTCTCTCTTTAGTGACTTCATGAGCACCAGTTCAGCCAAGTGCTCTTATTCAAACACACATCCACACACACATGTGGACATATTATCTTAATCTACTAAGTGAGCAATTCATAGCCTCAAATTACTGATGCCAATGATATCTTTAGAATGTGCTAAAATACCTGTGTTCTGAGCTTAGCAAATCCACATCTGGTGATTTACGCCATTTAGCTATTTGGTTCCAGAGAGCTCCCTTCCTTTCAACAGATTTCTCTTGTCCTAGTTATGCTTCTTAGAGACACCTCACTGTCATAGCCACTGACTAAAGCAGAGGTTCATAACCAAGATTATGGCTCAAAATAATTTGGGGATTTATGAAATAGATTTCTGGTCCAACTTCTGTAAATGTATCTCTTTAATTCTGGTGCGAGTGGGGCATATGATTCCCATTTCCAAGAAGAGACAAGGAGAGTCTGGTGCACATTGCAGTTAAGTGACACAGGTAAAGACATATCCTTCATTATCAACAATCACTTTAGTTAACTGTAAATATGCTGGGATAGAAAAACAGGAACTGGAAATGCTAAGGTGTAGGTTTCAGTTTGCTTTAAAGGAGCTTCTCATATAATTGAGGACCCTATCCAGTCAGTAACTTTTATGAATGACACATGAGCTGTAATTTCTGTGAATGTTTCAGGAATTAAAACAAAAGGGAAATTAGTTGTCAGTGGATAAAAGAGAGCTCCAAACAGACAGTGGAAGTAGATACATATAGAGAGAGACATGCACAGGGAGAGAATAGAGATGAGAGAAGCAAAGAGAGGTACCAGAGGCCAGAGAGAAGGAAGGATAGATAGGGACATGCCTTACTTAGTTCTCTTCTCTATCAAATTCCCTAGGTTTTGTGTTCCTGGCTGAGATGAGAAGTCTCTATGAAAAGGCGAGACTTGGATTCCTACATCCTGGAGCTATACCCTTAGATATGTCCCAAGCAAAGTCATGTTATATGATGGCTCCAACATACCTCGTGATCCCCTTGGCATTTTCCTATGTCCTTCCTGCTCTGCCTGGTGTTCTGAAACTTTTCATTTAGAAATGTTCTACCCTCTTTCTTATTTGTAACAGCTCACCCCAGCATACGTCTTTTTGTCACCCATGGCGGGCAGAATAGCATCATGGAGGCCATCCAGCATGGTGTGCCCATGGTAGGAATTGCTCTCTTTGGAGACCAACCAGAAAACATGGTCCGAGTAGAAGCCAAAAAACTCGGCGTCTCTATTCATTTACAAAAACTCAAGGCAGATACACTGGCTCTCAAAATGAAACAAGTCATAGAAGACAAGAGGTATGCATCTCTCTGGGGTTTGGGTCACTTAGGCTGAATGAAGACACAAGCAATAAGGGCACTGTGTGGGTCTCTTTTTAATTATAACTACATTTTTCAAGACATGGAATAATATGTGTGTGCTACTGACAACTGACCTGTGTCTTCTAAGAGCAAGATTAGAGCAATTTAAGTTAGATGCTGAGAATAATTTTCTACCTTTTGAATTTGGGGAATGCACATTGTGTTCATAGGTCTTTCTAAGAGCTCCTATGCTTTGGGTCCTATGGTAGAATTCTAACTGACACAGGAGGTCGCTTTCCTGTTCTCCAAATGCTCTATGCTCTTCCCCTCCTTGTCCTTTTGTTGTGCTGCTTCCTAACAATCCTTCTCTTCATGGAGTGGCTCCTTCAAGACATTTGGGTCTCATCTCTCACCCATATCTTTTCAGATTACTCTTTTCTTCTTCTTCTTTTTGTTTTTTAGATTGAAAACATAGTTTATTTAGAAAATAAATTAGAAAGAGAGAAGAGAGAGGGGATTCAACTCCCCAAGGTAGGGGAGGATAGTAAAAGCTTAGGAAAACATGGCCTGGCCATAGCTCAAAAAAACGCATGACCAGACCATAGCTTAGCAAGGGCAATGGTGAATAGAGAGAGAGAAAGAAAGAGAGAGAGAGAGAGAGAGAGAGAGAGAGAGAGAGAGATTCTCCTCCCCAAGGTAGGAGAGGAGGCCAAAGCCAAGAAACATGGTGGCATATCTCAAAGAGCCACATGTACACATCAGTGTTTAATAAAGCAATGACTAGAAAGTAAATGTGTGTGTGTGTGGGTGGGTGGGTGTGGGAGAGAGAGAGAGAGAGAGAAAGATTCACCTTTCCAAGGTCAGAGAGGGTACCAAAGCTTAGGAAACATGGCAGTGGCCAAAACTCAAAGAGCACATGGCCACACCAGAGTCTAGTAAAGCAATAGCAACTGACTGCTTGGAGTCAAATCCTTTTAAACATTCCCTTTGATGGGGGAAGTTCGTCAAGGTGATTTGGTGATGGCCTGCTTCACGTCATCACGGATGGGACAGGTAAGTGCAAGTACTGACATCAGATCCATCTTGACTACTCTTAAGTAGCTTCTTTTCCAGTTCACCCCAATTATGTCATTTCTTTCTTAATACTTCTAATGGTCTATAATTACCTCATTATCTTATATTTTCATTTATTATCTGCCTCCCCCCCCACACACACTACAGAGTAGAGAGTCAGCTCCATGAGGATAGCAGCATGTGTCTCTTGTTTTCCATTTTGTTCTCACTATTTTCCTAGCACAGGGCCTGCCACAAAGTAAGTGGTTTGGCCAGGTGATGTCCAAGGTAACTAACTATCCATCCAGCACAAAGGTTTCATTTGAAGAGAAAAACACACATTTTTATATACCTGAGAAGGACGGAATAACTTATTAGCATTTCCTGGGCACAAACCTGAATCTGACCTCAAGGCTTAACATATTACCTTGCACATGGTTGACAATCAAACAGTTGTACTTGGATGCCTGAAAACAACCACATAGTTCATAGTTTTAGGGTCTAGAAAAGTTGCTAAGTACCAGGAGTTGGATAATCCTAGAATAATTGTATATATTTGCCCTTTCATGTGGTGTAGGTGTTCATTTTCTGCAGAATAGGTTTGTAGCTCTTGTTGGATTTTCAAAGACCTAGACCCAAAATGGCCATAATCCACTGGCCTCTGTGAAGGAGTCATTGAGGACTGGGGTGGTCCCAGATAATGTGCATCACCAGGGCCAGCTTCATCATTTGTGGACCTGATATAAAACAAAAATGTGAATCCGCCAGTTATAAAGTGTAAGTATTTCAAGATGGTGACAACAGATAATTAAATCAAACATAGGATGCCATTAAGTGGTTGGTGTAAATATGCATATTGCAGCCTGGGAAGCCAGCTTTGGTCAACATGATGCTCTAATGGTGCAGAAAAGTACAGGCCTTGTCTTGGCAGTCCCAAGAGTGACATCTGTCACTCAGCTTAGAGACTGGCACAAGGTAAGTGCTCTATGTGTATATGTAATAATTATGTATACCTTTCCTAGAATATATTATAAGCTTCTTTATAGAAGGGACTAGTCTTTACACATGAGTCATTTTTTTAGTTAAGCACTTTTAACATTAAGCATAGATCTTTGCCTATAGGTATCAATATTTCAACATGACCCAGCTAGATTTTTGTAAAGCCAGACCAACAAAATTCCCTTGAAACTCAGTCTTTGGTGCATCAAATACAAGAATGATACATCCTATGTCTTGTGAAACCACATCATTAACACCCCCCTCCCCTCTGTCTCTGCCAACAGGTACAAGTCTGCAGTGATGGCCGCCAGCATCATAAGGCACTCACACCCCCTGAGTCCCACCCAGCGGCTGGTGGGTTGGATTGACCACATCCTCCAGACAGAAGGGGCAGCACACCTGAAACCCTATGCCTTCCAGCAACCCTGGCATGAGGAGTACCTGCTGGATGTCTTCCTGTTTCTTCTGGGGCTCACTCTGGGCACTGTGTGGCTTTGTGGGAAGCTGCTGGGCTTAGGGGCCAGGTGGCTATGTGGGCCCAGGAAGCTGAAGGAGACCTGAGGGCAATGCAGCCCTGAGGGGCTGTGTTTAGTAGACTGTGTCACTATTTCTCGAGGGCTTCCACTAGTTCTGGTAATCTCTGTTCTCCACATCATATCTGCTTGCTCGTATACTACAAATTCCTTCTCCCTAGCCTCTTCCTGTTGTGGTATTCTCTACCCAATAACCTTGTCCTTCTTTATTTGCCACTCAGCAAGGGGTATGTTGTGATTCTGTCTCTAAGAGACTTGGCCTCTGACCCTCCGATTTCCAGATTGGAAGCCTGCTCTCCTTCGCATGCCTTTCTCTGAATTGCTGAGCCTGACCATGCCAGCCTCCATGGCAAATCTCTCAGCCTCTTCCCTTTACTCCTCACTTGTCATGGGTAACACCTAAGAAAGGCAATTGACAAATCTTTTGGTTTTCTGTTTGCTTCCCCTGAATACTCTCTTCATTGCTCAGGAAGCCTGTCCTGGCATGTAAGTTCAGGGTCAGACACACATCTGTGGATCTCCTCATTGGGTGCTTGCCTTTCTTCATGTTGGGTATTGGCAGAGAGCTCTTTCTTTACTGATCAAGCATGGAGACTGTGGGTTTCCAGATTTCCTGGAAAGTGACCGTTTTTACCGAAATATTTCCCAGCCTATTCTCCCTATCCCCCCTTCAGAATGGCCAAGAGAGTTATTCTCTAGTTGGTCAGAATTCTGTCCTTTGTCTGCTCAAGGCTATAAGAGAAGCTGGCAACATCTCTGCAGTGGCAGCTGGCAAGGATGAAGAGAGCTAGGTGGGTGTGGGGTCAGCCAATCTGTAGTGTCTGAAGAACATGAAAAATGCCAAAAAATTTTCCAGAATGCCTGACCTGTTGAATTGGAATCTTTGGATATTTAGTGTTGGTCTATATTTATGCATTTCAGCAGCAAGCGATCTTGGACATGATGGGAAATAAAAACTTCTGTTTCTTGTTTACAGTCTCTGGCTGGGCCTGAGGAAACATGTAGTATTGAGTTGGCCTCAATGACTTTCCAAGTGTGATGAGGACCCAAGGCAGGGAGAGGGAGCAGAGGATTTCAACCAGGGAGCTCCAGCCCTTGATCCCTGTGTAGATGAAAAGAGGGAATAAAATTGAGGTTGCTAATTCCAAGGACAGCATAGAGAAGACTGCGTGTCATCCCTCCAGTTATTATTGCCACAAATCAGTGGGCACTACACATTAAGTGGTATAAGAGGGGAGTAAGCCATGCTATTTAGACTTCTGTAGAAAATGTGATTAACAAATGGATTCTCTTTGGGTCAGTATGGCTCTGAAATCCTCTGTGCAATGGATTCTGTGCTAAGGCATAGGACATATGTATCCACATCAAAATGTCACCAAATGTTTGAGAGATTGGGGACTTCAGACTTACTGAGCGGGATTAGAATTAATCTGAGCGTTCATGGGTCCTATTCCCTTGTTAAACCTACCTACTCTTTGCTAACTTTTCTTTTCTTCCTTCTGGCTGGTATTAAGGTTTAGAAAATACTGAGATAGGTATCAGGGTGGAAAAAATGGAGTATGGCACAGGAACTTACCCTTTGCTGAACTATTCACAATCTGCATGTATTTAGATGCTATATGAACTATAAAGATCAACAGGAAGAGTAAATAAAACCCCTATAGCTGATAACTTCTCATTCATAGAAAAATAATTTCAGACTGTAACAAAGCTATCTCCTGAATTCCTGATGCAGGCTTTTGTGGACAGCTGGTGAGTTCAGGAAAATCATACTTGTAAATCATATTTGCTGTGTGCTGGTTACCATTTTGTCTGAGTTCAGTGAGACAGAACATCCCTACATACAACTTAGATGAAGTGGCTTTATTACTTACAGATGAGTAGCAAGGGACTCCTGAAACCTAGATAGGATTCATTGCCACCTGGTCCTCCTAGGATTAAGGACTGCCTTGGATGGATGGGGTCTCATCTACCTGTGCCCTACTTGTACCCCAGATGAGGAACCTGGGAAAGCAGCCTACTCTGGATTTTTATTCCATGGAACAATATGTCACACTGGGCTAAAGTGTTGAAGGACTTTCTGTTCTGGAGGGAGCTACAGCAGAGTCCAGGCTATTCCATTCTTCCCCTATCAAGATGTTACAAATCCAGCTCATTCTGTAGCTGTTCTTGAGAGTTACAAGCCATAGCCACAGGCTGAATGATAAGACCTGCCTGGGGCAATACTGAGTCTAGGATCCCAGGGATACAGACAACTCAGAGAAACTCTTTCAGGTGACCCCATTGTCTGAGCAAATAGGTCTGCTTTTAGGTTTCCTCTACTTATGTTTTAACAATACCTGAGATGATTAACCAGGTCCAGCAGGGAGTATTGACAATCGCACATATCCCTTCCATTGGACTAAAAGGAGGTCTAGAACAATTCTGTTGTGTAAACTAATCTTCCCAGGAGATACCTACTGGGGTACCAAGGCAGTGACTGTAGAGGAACTAATATCTGCTATGGTAAGGGACAGGTTTATTATTATTTTTTAATAAGCGCTGACTCCTATGAATGGTATCAAAGATCTCATAAAGGACACAAACTAAGAGTCAGTTACACCTCCCAGTATAGCCCTGGTGACTCTAGGAAACCTGGTATACAGCTTTAGGCTGCTGGCCCAGTGGTGCTTCTCATTCTCAGGGGTGATATCTAGGGGCACCCAGCCTACCCAGCAGGCATGATCTCATCATTCACCAGTTTTCCAGAAATGACATTGACCATCATGTTTTTGGGTTACCCCCAGACTGCCTGTAGAGAAAGATATGCACATAGGTCGCTGCCCTCAGAAATACACAGCACCCCTTCCCCATTTTGTTGTTTGGGGGTGGCCTAATCAAGGTTATGGAGACTTTGCCGTTCACCAGCTAAGTTACAGTTGCATGAGCTCAGTTTCCTTCATACAGTGTTGTTCATAAAGCCCCTGTGGAGAGGGCTGGCATTAGTCCAGTCTTTGTTTTTGTCATTGCTCCTAGGGCTCTTCTTGTCTACATAATCAAAGAAAAGTGGTGTGTCAAAGTGCCAGCCCATAAAGGATTTTTTAGTTGTGGTCATGACATTTGTCACCTTAGGCCAGTTAAGTTAATGGCATCTCTGGCTCTTTTTCATGAGGTGGGTGTGTCTGATTCTCACTCTCACTTGGTAAGCCAGGGATTGGGTTCTGTTGGTGTACACTGATGTTAGAGATGTTGGTGTGGTTTACCACTGGCAGGGTTGCTGTGGTCAGTGACAGAACAAGGTCTGAGGTGGCAGATCCAACTCTTCGTCAGGTTACCCATGGTGGCCACACAGCTTGGGAGGGCCTAAAGAAGGCTTCCAGGCCTCTGCTGCCATGTTCTTGTGGAGAAAGCTGATTGGCAGGTTGGGTGTCCCACCTTCCATCTTTCCTGGGATCTCTAGTGTTCCTTACCTGCTAGATAAGCATTGGGCTGAGTTGGTATAGCACGTAGTCCAGAGGCTGCTACCTCTGTAGGCACCCGCTGCCCTTGTTGTTTGACCCAGACCTTTCAGCCTCTGCCTTCCATTCTAGAAAGGGAGGAAGCATCCTTTGAAAAGTTGACATGTTGAAAATGTCACCAACTCGGTTGGGAGGATCAGGTGTTCATGGTACCAACAGAGGGAACTTAGCACTCTGGTTTTCCTTGGTCCCATCCTCCAACCCTATGGGATCTCATAGAGGGGAGGCAACTTGGGGAAAACCTCACCTTCGATTAGATTTAGGGGGTCCTTTCTGGGGTACTATGGAGATCTGAATGACAAACCATCCCTGGGAAGTGTGCTCTAAAGGGAAAAAGGATAAAGAATAGTTGAAGATGCTGAGATTGGGATTTCATAGGTACAAACTAGTCAAGTGGCTATCTGGTCTGCTTCTACCCTCACCAAGGTCAGTGTGACCCGATATGCACTGTAGTGCTATGTTTCCGTTGTACTGGAGAGTAGTGTTTACCCCACTAGTAGGTCATCTTGATGTCCCTTGTTCAGGTGCTGTGTGAGTCAGGTGCTCCATCATTCAATAGCTTCATTGACCTGTGGATGACAGAGTGCATGGGAAGTCCATTGTATTCCATGGGAGAGCACTCGTTGTGTTGCTTGGCCAGTAAAGGATGTTCCTTGGTCAGAGTGAAGTCCTTCAGGTATCCTAAAAGATAAAACACAAGTTAAAAACACAAGATAAAAACACAAGTTTTTCTTAAGGGTGGCCATGTTAATCCCAGTGTTCACATGAGTAATAGCAAGCTGTTGCCATAGTCCTTGTTCTCCCACAGAGGTCCTTTAATAGTGCAGTCACTCAGTTGCCATTTCTCTAACCTGATGGTGCTGCTGTTAAAAAAAAAACAGCTGCAGGATAAAAAAAAATAATGTATTAAGATATGGTGGTAGAGGTGACTGGAATAGCCATCACCACTGCGTGTAGTTTGGCCCATTGGTGAGAACACCCATGTCTAGTCTCAGTCAAAAGATGGATATCCACTGGCTGGATGGCAGCTGCAGCCCAAGAGAGCTTGCCTGCTTGTAGTTTCCCAGAGCCATCAGTAAACCAAGTAATGCCAAGTGGTCTTGGCATTCAGCCTGCAATAGTCCATTGTTAGTCTTCATGCCCTAGAGGCATTTTTGACCAGCCAAATTGGGATGTTACATTGTAATAGGGTGTTTTGCATCAAGTCCTGAATTAACAAAGCAATGTGCAATTCTGCACTGAGTATGCAGTATAGCTTTTGTTGAATAACCCATTGGGGCTTGGGTAGCTTAGGTGATAGGCAGGAGTGAACATGTCCCATTGTTATGGCTCAAATTCTTGGCTGTGAGGAGCCATAGCCTCTCGGGCAGCAGTGATGCACTGTGCCACAGCAGCCAAAATGTCAATGCCTGTGATGCACTCAGTGGTGAGAACCGTAGTCACCGGTACCTGCAATGGCACAGAGGGCCTGGTCCATAAGCAGATAAAACCTTGGGTCACCATGTTCATTCCAAAACTGACTGATGTTATC